ATTAAATGATATATTAAGTACTTACTGTATACCTTAATTTATTCAAAGTAGATTTTAAGTAGAAAAATAACTAAATATTTTATCTTTAAAATGTATAATATAAAATATTAGAGAAAATAATATACTTATTATCTTTATATATAAGATTACGTGTCACATTGTTTGTCCGCGATGAACTCCTAAACTACTAAACTGATTGCAATGAAATTTTGCACACTGTGTGCAGTTTGGTTCAACTTGAGAGAGTTTTTATCCCTATAAGTGACCCTCAATATGTTTTATTACGAATTTAAGAATTTTTATAGGACACAGAGTCGTCGGAGAGGGCATAACAACGTATGCCTGGCCAGTTTGAATTATTTTATATCTTAAAGTTATATTAATTTACTCAAAGTAAATTTTAAGTAGAAGTAAAACGAGATAATATATTTTAATGTTATCTTTATTCAGCAGTGTACATTTCTAAGGATTGAAATTGAATTACAGTCAAAATCTATAAATCTTTAATAATTTTAAGAAAAAAATAATTTATTAATTTTGTTATTATTCGTCGTCATCGTTTGGGACGTTTGGGAATTTCTGTTCCATCGTCATCACCTTCATTGCCCTGATTGTTGCTTTTAGACATTAATAAATTTTAGGGTCAAATGCACTCACTTACTCACAGTCACTTTGCAATGGAACAGCATTAAGGCATGCTTGCCCTTTACACTGACCACAAGCTAAAGTGCATATTCACGATTGACCTTACATTACAGCACTTGTATGGCTGAGCGCCGCGCTCTCTCGCCCTCTATCGCAAAAACGGTTAAGCGCATAAAAAATATTTCAAATAAAACTTGTTGCAAATATTATGCCCTCTAATTTTCATACTAGATGTTAACATCATTGGAGCGATAGAAACCGAGATAACCACGAAAAGCTGTTTTTTTTACATCTGGATGATTGGCGGTCCACCACTGTGCGATTTAGAAGATGTTTTCTTCCTCGCACAACTTCTTTGTGGAATAGTTTACCACCAGCGATTTTTCCGGACCGATACGACTTAGGGACCTTCAAGAAAAGAGCCTACTCCTTTTTAAAAGGCCGGCAACGCATCTGCAATTCCCCTGGTGTTGCGGTTGTTCATGGGCGGCGGTAGTCACTTACCATCAGGTAAGCCGCATGTTCGTTTGCCCCCCCCCTCCTATAAAAAAAAATTGATCTTGAATAACTTACGACGCAGATATATATATTTTATGACACTTTGAGACAACTTTTAGAACGCCAAAGTATGGGCATATTTTAAAAAGTGTACCTACCTTATGTTTTTTCGACGTCCTTTATGTTTCCTTTTTTTTACTTAAACCATTGAAATAACCTAATATTTTTAACGTCATTTACTTGACCATGTTTGGTAGAATTTCGAAATTTTTTTCAATGTTTATATGTTTATTTATGATTTTATATTGTAATAAAAATACCAATAAACTAGTTTTTACCATGTCTCCTCGTTAAGTAATGACATTTAAAGTGGAATAACAGTTAGGTTATCAGTATGTGAATTGATCTAATAACATCATTCAACGGCTTACCGATATATTATTGAACACATTTGTTTTAAATTATTTTTTAAATCAAATAGTCTCAGAATTTTACCGGGTGGAATTTTCTGTGGACAAGTGCTACATTGAGGACGAGTATATGTGAACACAAAATACATTCCAGTGGTTAGCAGTGCTTTTTGAGGTAATTTATCAATTTTTCACATTTCTAGTACTTAATTATAATAATTTACGATCAGCCAGTTAATAGTTTCATAAATTTTTCCATTATTTCATTTATATAACTGCGAGTCATGAAAATAGTAAAGAAAACATGTTTGCTGTCGGAGTTTCTTTACATTCCCCTGACTAAATCTTTTAAAAATGGTAGTCAGTGGAGCAAATTGTTACATAGTGGAACGATAAAGCTGCGTGCATAACGAAGCATTCCTTTAGTATCGCTTAATATTTTTATATTTTATTGTGTAATTAAAATTGACGAAAATAATTTTTAAACTAAAAACTAAACAACATGCAGATTTTTATTTGTTTTTGTAGTGCATTCATTGTAACATGACTGACTATAATAAGAATTTTAATGGTTTTCAATTTTTTTGAGTTTAAAATCGAAAAAATTCGAGTATATCTACTAATAATAATTTGTTTTAATAATTTCCTATGAAAAACGCATTTTAATATAACTTGCAATACATATCTTGATAAAAAAACATTAACGATTATAGATAATTATTATAAATACGACTTTCCGAATAAAGAGTTATATCATTTTAAAGATAACTTGACCGTGGTAACTTAGGGGCTAAGCGCTCGCTGTAAATTTCACAGGAGGCCAGCAATCTGGGTTCAACTTCATCTGGCACTTATGAAATTATTAATTGCATTTTTAAATGCTAATTTATCACGTGCTTGGCGATAAAAGAAAACATCGCGAGGAAACATGTCTACATGTCTGAGAAATAAAAAAAAAACATTGAATAAGAAAGCGTTAACTTTAAAAAATCGTAAAATTAACTAGTACTGCTGGTTATAGAGTATGTTGTACTGAAAAATTAACTAAGAGAGAAGAACAGATACGATATCTTACAGATACATTGGCCAATCTATATAAAATACATAGGTATATGTAATAGTTTAAAAGTTTTGTATTGTTTTGATTAAAGAAGGCTATTTAGTTTTCCTAGTTAATATATGTAATTAAGCAAAATAATTTAAAATTTGTTTGTAAAGAAATTAAAATTGGCAATGAAATCCTTCATTGTAATCGGAGACTTTACTTTACCACTGACTATCTTCAACGTTCCAATGATTAACTGTCCCACTAAAAAAATCCAAACGTAAGGGTTTATTTTCACTTTCATGTTCAGTTCATGTAATATTTTAAGTTTGTTATTCCGTAAAATTATTTGACAAAACTGTAATAAATGGCTATTTAAATTGTTATAAAGAAAAACACTCAACTGATTATTTTAATTTTTAATTCCATTGTCAGAATAAATGTTTTTTTTTTCATCTATAAACATATATTATATAAATAAAAATATGATTCTCATTGAACCCATTTTACTTAATTCACTGTGTTAGATATTAAGTTGTTATTCAGTGGAACCGAAAATCCTATTAGTGAATTTCAGTAACTTATTATAATTAATTTATAGCAGTAATTCAAATATATTATACATTTCATTAAAAATCAACTAACATATTTTATGAATTCAACGACACATATTGAAAAAAAATGCATAAAAAATTAGGACATTCATTTTAACTTAGGTACACTTTTTTAAAAATCCGCCCATATACGAAAATTCAGTTTATTATCTCTCATTACGAGGTTAATCGCTAATTTGACTGGACTATTATAATATACTTGTTTCCGTCAACCGTCATTATTGCTAAGTAAGACCACACTGAAGATTATTCTGAATTGGATATCCCTTTTTAATAAAGATTTGGATTGATTAAAGATTTAAATAAATGAACTCAATTGCACGAGGGCGGATTACTAAAAGTAATTTTCTATATTTTACATCATTCAACTGCGGATGAAGATATGTAAATTGAAAATGTCTATACTATATGAATTAAGATACACATAAATTATTTTCTCATTTATTCATACGTACAGTTTCAACTGGAATATTTACCATCCGCCATAGTCTGGCTACACCAGGCTATCATATTAGCGGTTTGAGCTGTGCTTTAATAGATGACTCAGTCACTCAGGACATCTTCTTTTATAGGTATATAGATCAATGTATCTTCTATTTATATACCTAAAAATAAAACAAACTATACAAATTGCTTTAAAATTTATTTGCTAAGGGTATTTTAAAAAAGAAGGGAAAATGTTTAGGCGGAAGAAAAATATAGTAACCTCCGAAAATAAAAATCAAAAGTTAGCAAAAGTAACCTAACGTTAAATTGTAATAAATTGGCTTTAGTAGCGTACCTAAGCAGAAAGTTTCAACAAATAAACTTTTTCTGTTATACCCGATAGCTTAGTAGAAACTTCTTTTCAATCATTTTTATAGAATGTTGCAGTAGAACTATCAAGTTAATTTACTGTTCTGTAAAATTTTTTTGCTACTTTGTGGAATTTGCTGATAGAAAAATACTTGAAAAGTCACTATTGCATTACATCAAGAGTAACTTTCCACTTAAAAGCTCTTCAAACTTATTATAACTCTTTTCTTAATATGTATTTCGCTTTACCTACGACTTTGTGAAACATATGCAGGACCTATCTCTATCGAAAAGTTCAAATTTTTTATAAAGCTTAATTTTTTTAATAATAATAATAATAATTATTATTATTATTATTATTATTACACAGAATCGGGCTGTCGTGAAGGCTCTCAACCCAATGCTGGAGACCTATTTGGAAGCCAGCCGGGACCTTTGCGAGACGGACTCAATTCTTTTTGGCGGCGCACTGGCAGTTTGCCGTATTATTGGTGGCAAACTTCCCACGGCTGGACGCGCTACTAGGCAAAGTAACGCTATTCCAGCCTGGAAAAGAAGGATTGAGGACTGCATCGCTAGGCAAGGGCCCTCATCGGCAGACTGATAAGCTTCAGGTCGGGCAATAATAAGCCGAGAGTTGTGCGCATCGTCAGGATGGCGTTTGCTGGGACAAATATCAGTTTGTCCCAGCCGGATATAACGCAAAAACTGACGGAGCGCATAGACGACCTGAAGCAGAGAATCGCTGCTTGGGGGAAGCGGATTCGGCGATATACCAAGAGGTCAACACGGTTCATCCAGAATCGTCTCTTCCAGAGTGATCAGAAGAGGCTCTATGAATCATTGGAGCGGCCAATGATACGTGGAACGGGCCCAGCACCGAATCAGGCCGACACTCTCGCATTCTGGCGCGGCCTGTGGTCAGAACCCGTAAACTACAGCAAGAGCCCTTGGACGGAAGTTGTGGCGAGTCAATGTGCGAATGTTACGCCCATGGACCCCGTCATCATAACGCCGGATGACGTAACTGAGGCGGTCCGTAGGGCCCCGAACTGGAGAAGTCCGGGACTCGACGGACTGCATTACTACTGGCTGAAGGGGTTTGTGGTGTGTCAAAGTCGCGTCCGAGCCTCTTCACTACCGGGATCTATTGGAATTCATTTGGTTCCTAAAGACCGGGCTTCCACAGACCCAAGCAAATACCGCCCCACTACGTGTCTACCCACCATATATGAGACACTGACATCCATTTTGCGTACGCGAATCATTCATCACCTGGATTTAAATCAGGTGATGTCGCGTGCTCAAAATGGATGCCGGGGCGATGGTCGTGGAACCAAGGAACCACTCCTCATTGACGCGGCCATTGGCAAAGTGGTTAAACGCAACCGTCGGAACTTCTCCGCCGCCTGGATAGACTACAAAAAGGCATTCGACTCGGTGCCTCATACATGGCTAAAGAGGGTTCTTGAGCTGTACAAGGTTGACTGTACTGTAGAGCCTTCCTCGGGCAGTGTATGGGGCAGTGGAGTACAATCCTTTGTGGGATGACGGATGCGGAAAGCCACATAAGGATAAGAAGAGGTATCTTCCAGGGCGATTGTTTGAGTCCAATCTGGTTTTGCTTCTCCCTGAACCCTCTCAGTACTTACTGACTCTCAGTTCTTACTGGAGGACTCCGGGAGGGGATTTCAGCTTCGGAAAGGAGGGACAAAAGTGACTCACCTTTTCTATATGGATGATCTCAAATTATTCGCCTCCAGTCGCTCCCATCTTTTGGAATTGCTAAACATCACTTGTGATTTTAGTAATTCTATTAAAATGGAGCTGGGGACGGATAAGTGTGCGGTTTTTAGACGCGCTTACCATGCCTCTGTAATTACTTTCTGACGAGTGCGGATGATCCATACTATAGGGACGTTATTTCTTGTGATAAAGGGCTGACCCCTCTATTCTCAGCCAACGAGCAATGACAAGACCCAGCAGTAGAGAGCATTTCCGACCGCGAGACCGTGTGGAAGGAGAAGGAGCTCCACGGGAGGTTCTACAAGGCCATTCATGAGCCTTTCGTAGATATAGTCGCCTCCCTCCACTGGCTAGGTTTCGGTGACCTCTTTGGGGAAACTGAGGGTTTTGTCTGTGCAATGCAGGATCAGGTTATTAAGACCAACAATTATCGGAAATACATCCTAAAGGATGGCGCCATCAACATCTGTCGAGCTTGTCGCCATCCCGGTGAGTCACTTAGGCATGTCATCTCCGGTTGTACGGCGCTTTCTAACTCGTGAGTATTTGCACAGACACAATCTAGTAGTCACGATGCTACACCAGGAGCTCGCTCTGAAATACGGTCTCGTGGATCAGACACTGCCATATTATAAGTACTTGCCGGAAGCCGTGCTCGAAAATGACCGCGCCAGACTCTACTGGAACCGGGCCATCATCACAGACAGGAGTATTCTTGCGAATAAGCCTGATATTGTTCTGATGGACCGGGTACAGTCAAGGATATTTTTGGTCGACATTACCATTCCTTATGACGAGAACCTCGTGAAAGCCGAAACAGACAAACTTACAAAATATCTGGACCTGGCTTACGAGGTGACCGACATGTGGGGCGGACTGCTGACCGAAATTATTCCTGTAGTCGTTTCTGCAAACGGGTTAATCCCAGTCAGCTTCCCGGGTCATCTGAGGCGACTGGGACTCCGTAACGGACCGCTCCAAGCTCAAATGCAGAAGGCGGTGCTCCTCGATACCGCCCGCATCATCCGCCAGTTTCTTTCCCTTTCCCCCAAACCCTCGGCCATTTGGTCTCCCCTGCCGAGGGTTTCCATCTGGTTGGGTTTTTATATATTTATGTATTTTTTATGTATTTATTCTATTTCATTGATATGTATGTATGTTTATTTCTTTCGTTTACAATTATATATTTAAACAGCGATTGAGAAAACTTTATAGATAACATAATAATAATAATAATATTACTATTATAGTATACATATATAATTGATAATAACCCATGAGGTGATCGCTACCATGCTACTTCTAAATGTTTTCATATTTAATTGTACAGAATATCGTATTGTAAATTAATGTTTAAAATACTTACCCACTGGGTTTCATGCTGGTTCTTTCCAGGACTTAGGTTTTTTCCGACCCAGTGGTTAATGCACAGGTTAATGCTTTTATTCTTGAATTTTATAAGTATTCTTGTAATCTAAATTGACTAAAGATTATTCACATACTCTAACTAGAACCTTTTGTAATAATTTATTCCCAGAGTATAAAAAAACAATATCTTTTCAGTGTGTTTTAAGCCACAAATATTAACTGTGGCAAATTTTATAATACTAGTGTTACTTACACTCGTACGCGCAAGTACAGTTGCATTCAATAGTATGAATATTTTAAGTCACTTTATTAAATATGTATAGTAATAATTATTTTGCTTGCTCTATTTTAAGCCTATGTTTAAGAGAAGAACGAATTTTAATATCATGAATTTTAAAGTTGCGCCAGGCGATGTTTAAACGGCGAGCTTAGTTAAAATTTAAATTAATGTGATACTTGAAATTAATTTATATTTTAGCAGTAATTTGTAAACCTTATAATTTTGTATTGTGTTTTCTAGACGTATTTTTAGCGATCAGTTTCTAAATAAATGAATGATAATAAGCGCAATATATTACTATGGCTATTATCTTTTATTAAAGTAAATCAAACAAGACCGTTACACCACTGGTGGTTGCGATAGTGCCGTCATGCTATGTATGGATGGTTCATACAAAATATAAACTAAACGCCTCGATTTTATAATTATATATGTATATTGACTACGAAAACTACTTAAAATAATAAAAGTAAATTGTGTATTAAATAATAACAAAAATTATTAAATTATATAAAAAAAACTCGAGATATAATCACTATACAATGCAGACGATGAGCTACACAGATTGGCAACACCCCAACGCTCTACTTCTATTTAAATGCTCAAGTATTACGGAAATAAACGCGGCTAATAAAAAATAATATTTAATTAATATTATACGTGTGCATGTACATAGGCATATATTATTGAAATTCAAATTACTTCCAATTATATACTTTTTGTGTAACACAATTTTTGTCAGAATTACTATTAGCCTTGTTAATGTAACTATAAACATTATAAAGTGTTGTTTAATAAAACTGTGCCCAATAAGTTTTCAGAACTTTAGGATGATTTTTAAATGACATTAATTCTCATTTGCCGTTGGGGATGTTCTCTAAGTGATAAACAAGGCCACTGGGATCATCAAACGCAAGCTCATCCTTTTTTTAGTTTTGTTTACTCAAAGTAGTCAATTAGTAGTGCAAATCCTTGACTACGAATTCGATAATACACTCTGAACTATTCATCAGTTTTAGTAGTAATCCAAGAAACCTTTATCAGTGGTAGAGCCACGCGGCAGCTTTTGCTGTCGCACGGATGGGCCGGCTCGAACCGGAGTGGTACCACGACCTCACAGAAAACCAGCGTGAAGTAGAGGTTTACCTTTGCGTTTCGCTTGGTGAGTGCAGATGGCCGGAGGCCCTTTTTACTGGAAATGAGGCATTCCATCTTAGTCCTCACGGGTGACGACGCATCTACATTTTGATTTGTAATAGATAGATGTAGATGTCTATGGGCCGCAGCAACCACTTACCATCAGGTGGACTGTGTGCTCGTTTGTCACCCTTATCCTATAAAAAAAAAGCTGTCTTAATGTGTCGCAGCCCACAGCATTAAGACAAAACTTGATTATGAGTATATTCTACCGATCATAATTATAAGGCAAAACGTATTTATATTTTTTTTATAAACTTTCCCCTTAAATAAGCATTGGATGCAATTTTTTATTCTTCTTATAACATCGAGTAGGATAGATATAGATATCTAAATCTAGAAAGATACCTAAATCATTTAAAGTAATTATAAGATTTAATAAACTACTTTTAGCTCGAGTTGTATGAATTGCCTTTTAAACTTTGGAAAATATTTGAATTAACTTATAGAGCAGAACTCCATACGAGACGTTTGATACATAATTTATTTTTCAGCGGAAACCATGGCATTTTTACATGCAATTTCATCAAGAAGACCATTTTTGCGACTTCCCATTGCATTTCGAAACTATTGCTATAATATAAAACCCCCCGTCGTATATTCTGCCGAAGTGTTGCATGCAAAGGCAAAGGGAACGCCGATTGTTGCACTGGAATCAACTATTATAACACACGGCATGCCTTATCCTCAAAATTTGGAGACAGCCCAGGAAGTCGAAAATATAATAAGGCTGAGAGTAAGTAACAGGAATATCTTTTATTTTATTGTATATATATATTTATTATAAATAGTGTCCTCTTGACCGATTACGGTCACGAACAATACACCCAAAAATGTGCAACCATCAACTGTATAGAAGTTAAGACAGTGCCACAAGTGCATCTCCGTGCAATCAAAGATCCCGAAGACAATAAATCGTAATTACATACTTGTATATAAGATATTTTGTCATGTGTTCATGTTAGAGAATCCATCACACTATTCAGCTCGTGGGTGTAACGACCGACTATGTGAAATACCAGAATGATCGCATGGCTTCGGAAAGAGAATGATATAGCCATCTCATTCAGGCCAGACCGGCAACGGGAAGCAGTCTCAGAGGTGCAAAACTTCTAGTAGGTACTGGAGCTACTACTCCGCCTGCTTGTAAGACACCACCAACCATAGGAATAACCAGAATAACCTTTAATAGATTGCAGTTTAACTATTTCGGTTGGCATGATCATCATCATCATTAAAGTCCAACACAAATCAACTGATGAACATAGGCCACCTATAAGGAATGCCACAAAGCATGGTCCTGAATTTCATATATCTAGTATATACAAAAGTCAGTAAAATGCAGAATATAATTCCAGACCCGCAACACGAGACTATCAAAAGTGAGCCGTCCGTTGCCGCAATTACCAATCCGCCTGCTTAGCGTAGGGAGTAAGGCAAATCCCTACTACGCAAGAGACCTTTTTTATAAACCTCTTAAGTTCAAAATATTATTATTACGTATAATATAATAAAAGTCTTAATGACAGGGCGGAACACCTGCTACAATAGCAGTCCTCAAAGGCCAGCTCACGGTCGGTGTGACAGCAGAACAGTTGCAGTATTTGGCACAGGCCAAGGGCGTGGTAAAGGCATCACGGAGAGACCTTGCGGCTGTGATGGCGACGGGAGGCGACGGAGCCACTACCGTCGCTGGAACTATTATAGCGGCTGAGTTGGCGGGAATTGATGTATTTGTTACGGGAGGGATAGGTAAGTCGAATAAAAATTATAAAGCGTACTACTGGTCAGTCAGTATTAAACATAATTTTTTTTAATTGAACAAATAGTCCGCCTGATGGTAAGTGGATGCTATAACCTAAGCCAGCTACATTCACCTCTATTAAGAATAAAAATGCAGAAGCGTTGCCACTCCTGAGGGCTAATATGAAATGACTCGTCAATAAAAAAGGTCTTCATC